CTAATCGACTCAAGTCGTGCAACAGGGGCAAAAGTCTCATCAAAATCAATCCCCTCAACCTGAGTATACCCCTGAGCAACTAATCTTGCCTTATTCCTAGTAATAGTACCTTGGTCATCTGTCTTGTTCTTAAAGATCCACTTGGTACCGATCACATTGCATTTTTTTGGTCTGGGAACTAATATCCACACATTATTCCTAGCAAATTGATTTAGCTCCTCATGCATTGCATTTACCCAACACTCATCACTAAGAGCCTCTTCAACTTTCTTAGGCTCGACTTGAGACACATAGCTAGTGTATGCTAAATTATTCAATACTCTCCTACGAAGTCTCATCCCTTCATCTAGATCCCCAATGATATTATCCTTAGGATGGTTAGATTTAACCTTAGTTGATGGTTCCTTAGAATGTTTATCTAGAAGTGTTTCCTTTTCAGATGTTTCAGGCACAGGTAGTTCAGTAGGATCACTGGAAACCAAACGATCACCATCTTTATCACAATTTTTAGCACTCTCCCCCTCACTCACACCATCATCTATCACAACATTTATAGACTCCATCACCACACGGGTACGTGAGTTATACACTCTAAATGCACGGCTATTCCTCGAGTACCCCAGGAAGATCCCTTCATCACTTTTTGATTCAAACTTACCCAAACTCTCTCTATCCCGCAAAATGTAGCACTTACTCCCAAATATTCGAATATACTTAATAGTAGGCTTTTTACCCTTAAGAATTTTATAGGGTGTCTGATCAGTCTTGGGTCTAAGGTAGACTCTATTAACTATGTGGCATGCAGCGTTAATAGCTTCTCCCCAAAAGTGTAGGGCTAATTCCTTGCCATCAAGCATGGCTCTAGCCATATCCTGAAGGACACGATTCTTCCTTTCAACCACCCCATTTTGTTGCGGAGTGATAGGGGAGGAGAACTCCTGCATTATCCCTTCATCCATACAAAAACTCTCAAGGTTGAAGTTCTCAAATTCTTTTCCATGGTCACTACGCATCCTAGACACTTTGAGATTTAGTTCATTGCTAAGCCGTTTACACAGAGACTTAATAAGGTCACAAGCATCAGATTTTTCCCTAAACAACTCTATCCAAGTAAACCTCGAAAAGTCATCTACAACGACAAGGATGTAGCGCTTACCACCTAAACTCTCGGTCCTAGAGGGTCTCATTAAATCCATGTGAATCAATTCTAGTGGTCTTTTAGTCAGAATTTTAGTGGTCTTCTTATGGCTCACCTTAAGTTGTTTACCTAGTTGACATGGTCCACACAACATTTTCACTAGAACCTATTTTAGGCAAACCATCTACCAACTCCTTTTTTTAGCCAGCTGTACTAGACTCTTATAGTTTAAATGACCCAATCTTTTGTGCCAGAGTTCACTCACATCAATTTTTGCACTCCTACACACATAGTTAGAATTAGGTAGTACCCCATAACAATTGTCGAATGTTCTAACCCCTTCAAGGACTACCCCACCGGATGAATCATATACGGTACATCTCTTCTGCACAAAACTAACCTCAAAATCATCATCACAGATTTGACTGATGCTTAGCAAATTTGATTTTAAACCTTCCACATATAACACATTAGAAATCACAGGCAAACCAAGCATTTGTACGGTACCTTTGCCGAGAATAGGTGCAGAGCCCCCATCTCCAAAAGTAACCATACCACCATTACATTCATCAAAAGTAGTAAACAAAGATTTATTACCACACATATGCCTAGAACATGCACTATCCAGGTACCACATATTAGAATTTTGAGCTTTTAATGCAACATTAGCAACAAGGCATTTCTCTTGACCGGATAGTCTATCTAAATCACCCTTTTTGACCCAAATCCTTTTAGGCGACAAGTTACTCTTAGTTAGCTTAGTAAGCATCTCAGTCAGATGACTAACCTGATTAGACAGAAAGCTAACCTGACTAGGAATGTTTTGACTTCTACGCTCATTGCCTAACTTGTAACATCTAGGCCTAGTGTGTCCTAGAGCACCACAGTGGTGGCAGGTGAGAATAAACCTAGGCTCAAAAGTACGTGTCTGAGGGTACCTGGTCCTAATGTTCCTACGTGATTGATGACTTTGTTCCCTAGGAATGCTCTTACC